TTCAGCGCTTCCTTTTGATTTTTCTTCGCTGGCGGTCCACTTTACACTCTATTTCATGCGAGACCGCGGTAACAACCCCTACATGATTACGGAAAGCGCCTTTGAAATAAATATGAGCAATAGGCAAATTTCCGAATTGTTCAATCAATCCGGCATAGGCCGACGTCATAGTTTGCGAATCGAGCGATTCGCTAGCGAATCGCTGGATCCGAGCGTTGCGCCAGCGAATCGAACGTTGCACCAGCGAATCGAACTTTGCGCCAGCGAGTCGAACGATGTACCAGCGAGTCGAACTAGGTACCAGCGACTCAATAGTGGCGGGACCCAACGTTCAAAGGAAGCCCGCCACTTTCAAAAACACGTGTCCACTGTCAAGTCCCGCCACTTTCAAAAAGGGTCCACTGTCACGTGACACTGTTTGAAAGTGGCGGGCTTCCTTTGAACGTTGGGTCCCGCCACTATTGAGTCGCTGGTACATCGTTCGACTCGCTGGTGCATCGGTCGATTCGTGCAAAGTTCGATTCGCAAACTATGACATCGGCCATACAGCTGGAACTGCCACTAAACTGTCAAGTGGCATCAATAATCCAACTAGTGCTAACCTCTGTATCGTGCCTGTACCAGTCCATGCTGTTACAGACTCATCAATACCGCATAGCGACTGGTATAAACTGGATGAAAGACCCTGACTGAGATTGTACAGCTTGTACGCCTAAACCAATTGAAATTTGAGCACTACCTCTGGGGAGTTGAGAATTTGAAAAGTTCAAATGGCTTCACCTTTTGCAAATGGTTTCCCAGATCAGGTACAGTCGCCAAATCCGTAATGGAAGTGAGTAGGTCGTAGCACTGGTTTTGGATAAATGATAAAGGAGATGACACGAACATCCTTGAAGTTGATATCGATGCAATGAAGAGAGGGAATGAATTATGCTCGAAACCTGAAGGAATATTTTCGGGGTATGAAAGAAAATTGTAAAAGATATCCCAAGAACTTACCAGTCGGAGGCTTGACATTCATGTCCTTCTGTGACTCCAGTAGAAGTAGAAGCAGTTCCATAAGCGCAGAAGTAAGCCGGTGATTTTGAGCAGAATGAAGTGCACAGAAGGAGGTAAATGACCTGAACATGCTTTCATCTAGACTTTCGGACATCCATTGAAAAGAAACACTTCCAAAAGACCACTGGTAGTTGGGAAAGCTAATGCTTGATTCGATTTAATACAAATGAGAGCCTAATCGCATATGCGATGAAAACTTCAAGTCGGAAGCAGGGTTACTCAGAAAATAACAGTGAGGGGCTGGGCATCATTTGTAAATGAAAGGCTAGATTCTCAAATTCCACTTATGGAAAGTGGTCGCTATTGAAAAAAAAGCTCAACTAAATTACCACGCACTTACTAGCCGAGTCTCCCAAAAAATAAAAAAAAATAAAACAAAAATTCAGGAAATGAAATGTAATAAGATCGCAAAACAAATTTGCAAAGGATACCTCAGCAGATTCTGATTGCATGTTAACCACTTCCACTTCTCTGCGGCTGCATTTTCCTTTTCCACGACTTTAGAACTATCGGTGCTAGTAGATGCATGAGGACCATGTTTTCTGCAAGGATAAAACGTGAGACAGATCCTGATTTCGCTTTTAGAATCATGATCGAATGCTTGTTTCACCCTGATGCTTCGAAGACATTTAATGAACAATGTGATCGACTGAAGGTCACTGGAGGTGTACCCACTCTTTTCTGGGGTGTTCCCACTTTTCGAAGTAAGGTCGAAACCTAGCATTTGGCTAGAAGCTTCCCCCACCATTTCCTGAACATAAACGTCACATTTGATGACAGCAAAAAGCCTGACCCGTGCGCAGGGCGATATTTGCATCTAACCAGGAAGGTCTTTCAGGGCGTGCCAAGCTTTTTGAAAACGGTCTTTTGCATGATATAGGGGCACATGCGGGAACCACAGAACCATGGTTCATTTTTCCTGAACGGCCCTCTGAATACCAGAAAAGGGGGTCCCTAGTTCGATTCCTCGTGGTGACAAATTTTTGCATTTCGAGTTGACGTTCCAAAATTCGCGCAAAATGGAGTTAGCATGAATAATTAGTACCATATTCATGATTAGGACCGTCAGTAACCCTTACAAAAAGACTTTGACTTAAAAATTGGTGTAAGAGGTGTGACACCAAGCAGCCCCACTGTGGTGTCACACCTTTTTCACCAGTTTTTTAATCAAAGTCTATTTGTAAGGGTTACTGACGGTCCTAATCATGAATATGGTACTAATTATTCATGCTAACTCCATTGTGCGCGAATTTTGGAACTTCAACTCGAAATGCAAAAATTTTTCACCACAAGGATTCGAACTAGGGACCCCCTTTCATGGTATTCAGAGGGCCGTTTAAGAAAAATGAACCATGGTTTTGTGGTTCCCGCATGTGCCCCTATATCACGCAAAAGACCGTTTTCAAAAAGCTTGGCACGCCCTGAAAGACCTTCCTGGTAAGGGCGAATAGTGTCTGAGCGTTCTGAAGACTACATGGGAAATCCTCATTC